TGAACGGAGTTTAACCGGAGGCTCGCACGCGCCCAGTGAAAGTAGACAGATTAATTACCCCATAGGCAATCAAAGGCTGCAAGTAATTTGCATTCGTTGATCGTGGCCAAAGACACCTAGGTGATTACATGAGCGTGGGGCGATGCGCATCTCCGTTGGTGGCCGTATGCCGCCGGTGCAAATTCCACATTGCTATGGTAGGGGGTAGTCTATCCACAAAACAGCTGCTGTCGCCTTCACACAAAGTGGCACTGGTTTTTTGTCGACCCCCGAGTGATGATGGGCTAAGTCGACTCCTGATTGCAATTTGAGCTCGTAACTTGCTGTGCTTTCACGCTGTGACCATGGTGCCACCTGGATGGAGAATTATTGATGCCTTTGATCTATTTTAAGCATTAATTAATTTGAATTCTTTATTTCTTACGAAAGGGACACCTCAATTCCCGTAAATTGTAATACTTATTTATTGCGGTGTGTAGTTATATTATTTACTTTATTACAAAATAGTTGTCACTTTCACGCATGGGCGAGATGCACTCATGGAAAAAAATCCTTCTGACTCATGCCACACAGTCTTCAATGCCCCTCTCGCACAGCGCTCGGCATGTTGATACTTTCCCACAACTTATCCTTGCGAGGCAAACTCTTCGTCGCTCCATCTCTGCGGCAGTTGTCCTCATCGCAGCGATCCCTCCCTTGGCCTCACTCTCGCCGATCGCCCGTCATCCCTTCAAGCGATGTGTCCACTTTTCATCGGCAGTCAGTATATGGTATGTCTGATTTGATCCGTGAGCTCCTTCTCCTGTCTCTTAAGCGTACTTACGAGCATGCAGCTGCGTAAATGTAGTTGTTGCTAATTTAATTGGATCATAATCTGCCTGCTGAGGGGGCTTGATGCAGCCTGTCAGCTCTCTGGGGCTCATTAAACACCACTTTTGTAAGAAGTCAACATTGATTATCCTATGGACGGCCTGGCCCCCACCATAGGAATATGGAAACTCTACAACTGGCTCACGGCCTTATATGGAGATGAGCACTGCCCCATATCCACTTGATCAGAAAACACGTGGGCTTTAGTATTTTTACTTAAAAAAATGGCAAGATACAGAAAAAATGCCCCATCTTGACTAAATGTAAATCATATATATTAGAAAACTTCTGCACATTTTGCCTTAAATGGAAAGTAAAATTTCAAAGACAGAGCATGAAAAATTAGCAATGCAGGGAAATTGCGTTTTATTTCCACGTCAATATGGATTTTAAAGTTATTTTATTATTATATGTTTTTTGAAAAAAGTAAAGTTTTCAAATTGGTTAGTGCAATATGGTAGTCATAATGATCTGCTCTTTGTCAATCCACTGGTGAATGAAACCTTTCCCACTACTCTGTTAGTCTCGGTTTTTCTTTTTTTCCCCACCATAATTCACGAAGGTGATCAGTATGGTTTGGTGAAGTGCGGGCTAAGACTGGTTCAGACATAGTTATCCACCGATGTTAAACATGGATGGGAATTAGGTTTCCGGGTTCGTAACGCATTGCGAAAGGCCACTGTCCCATCACTCCCCTGACATTGCCTCAGCCCTCTGGCGAAATGAAAAGTGGGGACGCGTATCTGGGCGTGGTGGCGCAATTTTGCAATCCAGAAATAAGAGTTGGTGGATCGCACAGAGATCACCACGAGTGGAACCCTAAACCTCCAGGCCGGTCATATATGACAGCACTAAGAGTTGCGTTCTGTCGTACTTTGGGTTATTTCTATGATCAAGTAGGATTTCTCCCACACTCTTCATTCCTCCCATAAAAGGAGAATGTGCGCACCGAGTCCTGAGGCTTTGTGAGCATTACTTGAGAAATAATTGTACTTCTTTTTTATTCTTATTACCGTACAGTATTTTCTCTTTAATTCATCTAACCAGTGCAGAAGCTGCCTAAAAGTTAAGCCTTGAAGCACAATGGTCTGAGTCCAGTGTAGAGTTATGCTCATGACCAGGGGCGTTACTACACGTAGAATAATATAGATTATCACTCTTACAGAGCGTGCGTGCGAGAGGATTTACTCGTTTCGGAATCGTAACCACTCAGTAATCACTGTGGTTCGTGTGGCCCCTGCATTTGCTTGAGGCACCACAATATAAACACATGGCCATTGTCGATTCTTGACAATAAATGTAATCGTCAACACATTCGCACATTGTTCAACGCCTGCCCTTTCTCTTATCCGGCCTGCACTCATGGAACCAAAAACAAATCTGTGAACCGTGTTTCTTCTTCTTCTTCTTCAAATAAAAAGTACAGTGCTGTCATAACTTCAGCAGTTGTCGTGGTGGGAGTATTTCAGCCAGCAGCATTGCTCACAAGGTTTTGTGGCTCTCCCATTTGTTGGCATAATCAGCCTCTTCTTAAGCGTCATTTCTTCCCGGGTGTGGGAGACAGGGTGTGGGAGACAGGGTGAGCTCGCTTTAGCCGCTGGCACAGTGTGAAGCATCTTAAGTTAAAGCCCTCACAGAGACTTTTCTGGGTTTTTTTTTTATTTCAGGGCAGCTGTCTTTGCCCTTTTGCGAGAATATTTTAGCTGCAAACAATCCATGTTTCATGAACTAATAATGTTTCATCCGCTCCACAGTCATACAATCAAAGATGTATAATTGACTTCACAAATAAAGGTGACACAGTCAGTGAAATCTGTGTCATTTAACATGTCTGTACTTTGTCGATTTGCGTGTTTCGGTTCGTCTTTACAAATCAAACTGGATGACGAAGCTGACTCTAACCCTGCAGCGTGGCCATATTTAAACGAGCGGGAGAGATGCGGGCGTGGCACACACGGCAGTCAATGTGAAACAAACTTTAAACAAATAGATATATTAACTGCTAAACCGAGTAATAATCATATTCTTGCGTCTCTCGGTGAAGTCACGTAGGTGGGTTCAAAGAAAATAACTAAAAGTAACAAAATAAACTACGGTGTTTCGATGGCAACACAAGCGGTCGTCTTCAGAAAAAGGGGGCTTGTGTTGCGATCGAAACGTCGTAGTTTTTTTGTTTGTTACTGTTTGTTATTCTCTTTGAACCTATCTACGTGACTTTCCCGAAAGAACCAAGAATATGAATTCCTGCAGTCACGAAAGCTTTAAGTCACGAATAACAATCGATACGATCTACTTTTATCTATTGTACATTCTGCTCGATCTCTCACCCCGTGTGTTTATGAGGAAGAATGTGTACCATGCAGTGCGAGTTAAATCCCACACACGTCCGATGGGTGTACACACACAAACTGCAAGATAGCAATGCGAGAGATCCTGCAATGTCTCAGTTCACCGCAAATGAAGTTTCCGTCAATGTGTTCTCCGCTGGTGGTTCAGGAACATACTGTCAAATATGGATGGTGCTTGTTGAATTATAACAAGTCCACTTTCGGGTTGGTGGTTGGATAGCCTGGTGGTCAATGCGTGCGCTGTTGAGCCAGCTTTCATATATATTTTACAAGATGTATCCTTATTTGCCAGGTAGTTTCAGAGGGATACCACCAAGATGTAATGGTCAACACACTGAACTTGCAATCCAGAGGTCACCGGTTCGATGTGACCTCCCAGCACGGCAGTTGAAACAATGGTGCAAGTTTCCTAAACCCCTCCACCTCTGTTTACCGAGCAGTATGAATGGGCACACAACAGTTTGTCGATTGGTGGCAGGGCCATGCGTGGTGGGGTAAAGTGTGGGTACTCCCACTTCCAAGAAACCTGGCCAGTGTGGAAGAGTAGGCCAACATTCTCTGTCTCTCTCTCTCTCGAGTGCTCCCTTCTTCTAGCAGTGGCATGAGCAAGTACTTTCAGAGCTGCACCTTTACTTTGTAGTGTTTAAGCACGCACAACAACACATGCGCATGCGTGGAAACGTGAGAGAGATGCCGGACTTTTACCGTCGGCTGCCCGTGATTTTATTCGCCACGTGAAAGCACGTCACGGTGGCTTTTCACGGTGGCTTTGGTTGTGGATGTCGTTTTCACGACTGCCAGTCTTGCCATTGACCACCCCCCCCGTATGCTAAGCAGGTTTTTTTTTAAGCCTGGTTAAAATACGTACGGTGACCAATGTTCAAAACAGCAGGTGCACGGAGCTTTGGCAGATAATACAGAGCATGCTGTCAATTTGTAGCATCTGGTAGTAGTTTCCCAGTTTTTTTTTACAAGCATGTGTCTTTACTGTGTAAAACCACCACACTGGAATGTTAGGTCAAAGCACTTATTATATCTCAACTTCTTCTCTCGCACTGCAAGACTCTAGAATTACCTCCCATCGTCTCTTGTCCTAAATTCCTGCTGTAACCCTGCTCAGGTTTAAGACATGTATTTCACACTTATCAATAACAACTTTCAGGAGCGCCGTTTGCTCCTGGCCACTTGGCATTTTAGGACATTTTTGGGCCCTCTGCTCAGCAATCCAGACTTGAAAGCAAGTGGGTTTGTGATCCCTGTGTGAAGACCCTTGAATGTATGGGGTTGCTGTGTTCCTCTTTAAAGTATGGGATTTCTCCAGGGCCCCCGGTTTCCTGCCTCGCATAACGCAACACTCATTCCAGTATAATAACAAGTGGCCAAACAACAGCGCGGTGGCGAAAGCCCCTTCGAGATGAAATAAAGTGTCTTGGGACTCAACGGGGCTTTGCTTGATTATAAGACATGAACAGAAAATTGTTATAATTAGGATTTCATTTATAATAACATCACGTCGTATTGCACACAGGAAGAAGACATTTTATGACATGTCCACAGATTAACTCAGTATTCTGATCTGGCAACATAGCCTCGGTGTGCTGTGAAGAAGGGCCATTGCCCGAAACGTCGCATTTCGCATTCTTTTTTTTTTCATTTAAGGCCACACACACACAAGTGTCATTGACGAATGTGTTGAGTTAAAAATAACAAAAATGAGCGACTGCTGTTGTTGAGTGTGAGGAGTGGGTGTGACGGGGGGCGTGGTCCGTGTGAAGCCCCGCCCACCCTCGCGCGGCCCCGCCCCCCGCGCGGCCCCGCCTCGAGCTGGCGGCGCGCGACGCTGAGCGCCGCACTCACCTGGGACACGAGGTGGTCAGCAGCGCGTGAGTCGAGCTCCACAACATTCACTCACACACACTCACCTACACATTCACCTACACACACACTCACCTACACACACACTCACCTACACACACACTCACCTACACACACACTCACCTACACATTCACCTACACACACACTCACCTACACATTCACCTACACATTCACCTACACTCACACTCACCTACACACACACTCACCTACACACACACTCACCTACACACACACACTCACCTACACACACTCACCTACACACACTCGCCTACACACACTCACCTACACACACTCACACACACTCACCTACACATTCACCTACACACACACACTCACCTACACACACTCACCTACACACACACACTCACCTACACACACACTCACACACACTCACCTACACACACTCACACACACTCACCTACACATTCACCTACACACACACACTCACCTACACACACTCACCTACACACACTCACCTACACACACTCACCTACACACACACACTCACCTACACACACACTCACACACACTCACACACTCACCTACACACACTCATACTCACCTACACACACTCACACTCACCTACACACACTCACACACACTCACCTACACACCTACACACACTCACACACACTCACCTACACTCACCCACACACACTCACCCACACACTCACCTACACACACTCACACTCACCTACACACACTCACCTACACACACTCACACACACTCACCTACACACACTGACCTACACACACTCACCCACACACACTCACCTACACACACTCACCCACACTCACCTACACACACTCACACACACTCACCTACACTCACCCACACACACTCACCCACACACACTCACCCACACACACTCACCTACACACACTCACACACTCACCTACACACACTCACCCACACTCACCTACACACACTCACCCACACTCACCTACACACACACACTCACCTACACTCATCTACACTCACCTACACTCATCTACACACACTCACACACTCACCCACACTCACCTACACACACTCACCTACACTCACCTACACTCACCCACACTCACCCACACTCACCCACACTCACCTACACTCACACACTCACCTACACACACCCTCACCCACACTAACACACTCACCTACACTCACACACTCACCTACACACACTCACCCACACTCACACACTCACCTACACACACTCACCCACACTCACACACTCACCTACACACACTCATCGCCTTGGTACACACTGCCTGTACATACTGTACACACCGCCTGTACACACTGTACACACCACCTGTACATACTGTACACACTGCCTGTACACGCCACCTGTACACACTACCTGTACACACCGCCTGTACACACTGTACACACTACCTGTACATACTGCACACACTATCTGTACACACTGTACACACTACCTGTACACACTGTACACACTGCCTGTACACGCCACCTGTACACACTACCTGTGCACACCGCCTGTACACACTGTACACACTACCTGTACACACCGCCTGTACACACTGTACACACTACCTGTACACACTGTACACGCTACCTGTACACACTGTACACGCTACCTGTACATACTGTGCAAACTGTACACGCCACCTGTACACACTGTACACACTACCTGTACACACTGTACACACTACCTGTACACACTGTACACACTACCTGTACACACTGTACACACTACCTGTACATACTACCAAGTATACACTGCCTGCTACACACGAATACACGCTACCTGTAGGCCTCGGCAAGGTAAGGTAATTTACCATTTCTACCGGGTAAAAGGGTAAAGGTAAAGGGTAGTAGGGTAAAGGTAGCTCGGAAGAACTACCCGGTAGGGTAAAGGTAGCGTGAAGTATTAACCCGGTAAATGCGGTGCCTTGCTTACTGCTAAAAGCTCTGAGGCGCAGTCCGTGGCTTCCATTTAATAAGTAATATTTAAAAAAAAACTGTTTTAAAAGCACGCTTTTATCAAATGTACGAGTAACACTCTTTGGTTCTATTCGGTAGTCACTTAGGTAAAAAAATAAAACAACAAAAATCACGACGTTTCGGCCACAACACAAGTGGCCTTCATCAGGTGAAGGGACCGTGCTGTCACGAGGACAGTGAAGACAGCCAAGCCCAGGGCGCGTCCTCCCACACGCTGTCCTCGTGACAGCACGGTCCCACCACCTGATGAAGGCCACTTGTGTTGTGGCCGAAACGTCGTGATTTTTGTTGTTTTATTTTTTACCTACGTGACGTTGTTGCTGCTGCTGCTGTTGTTGCTGGTTTTGTTGTTGCTGCTGCTGTTGTTGTTGCTGCTGCTGCTGTTGTTGTTGCTGCTGTTGTTGTTGTTGTTGCTGCTGCTGTTGTTGTTGCTGCTGCTGCTGTTGCTGCTGCTGTTGTTGCTGGTTTTGCTGTTGTTGCTGTTGTTGCTGCTGTTGTTGCTGCTGTTGTTGTTGTTGCTGCTATTGTTGTTGCTGCTGCTGTTGTTGCTTTTGCTGCTGCTGCTGCTGTTGTTGTTGTTGCTGCTGTTGTTGATGCTGCTGCTGTTGTTGTTGCTGTTGTTGCTGCTGCTGTTGTTGTTGCTGTTGCTGCTGTTGTTGTTGCTGCTGCTGTTGTTGTTGCTGTTGTTGTTGCTGCTGCTGCTGTTGTTGCTGCTGCTGTTGTTGTTGTTGCTGTTGTTGCTACTGCTGCTGTTGTTGCTGCTGCTGTTGTTGCTGTTGTTGCTGCTGCTGTTGTTGTTGTTGCTGCTGCTGTTGTTGTTGCTGTTGCTGCTGCTGCTGCATGCTATGAGTCGTGTGGACGGCTTGGGGCATGCGGGGATCAAGCGCAGCGTCGTGAGAGAAACGAAGCCGGCGACCTGAGTTCGATTCCCGCTTGCGGCCACCGCCCCTCCAGTGTGGCGACTTTGTGAACCGGTCCTGGGCCTCGCCTAGGTCGACTCGGCCTCAAATGAGTACCTGGTGCGGTGTCTAAAACATCGACACTGGGAAGACAAAGGCGGCCGGGCGTGGTTGCTGGCCCCCCCTACCCCCCCTCGTGTGTCACGGTGCCGGCCTTCATTAGGTGGTACTCGCTATCAGCACTTGCCCCCCACCACAGTTTTGTTACAGGCTACAGGGGGAAACCTGATGTCCTTGACCACCTTGTGGTGTGTACACTATCACACACTCGGCATACTCCAGGCCCTCTCCACACTCCTCTTGTGTTTGCGGTATTGTGTTTAACAAGGTGCATTTAAAACCCCCTTTGTTTGTTACGTAAGGTGGGGTTGAAAGATCCCCTACACACTTTGTCACAACAACAACAACGGAGTGCTTAAGGGGTGTACACGGTACAGGCGAACCATCTCTCGAGTGTCCCCCCACAGTCGTACACACGGTGTGATCATGCTGTGTGTGTGTGATGTGTACGCGTGGGGTGTGTGTGTGGTGTGTGTACACGTGGTGTGTGTGTGTGTCCACAGTCGTACACACGGTGTGATCATGCTCTGTGTGTGGTGTGTGTGTGTGTCCACACAGTCGTACACACGGTGTGATCGTGCTGTGTGTGTGTGGTGTGTGTACACGTGCTGTGTGTGTGGTGTGTGTACACGTGGTGTGTGTGTGTGTGTCCACAGTCGTACACACGGTGTATCATGCTGTGTGTGTGTGGTGTGTACACTGGAATGTACTTTTACTGTGTGTACGCGTGGTGTGTGTGTGTGTCCACAGTCGTACACACGGTGTATCATGCTGTGTGTGTGTGGTGTGTACACTGGAATGTACTTTTACTGTGTGTACGCGTGGTGTGTGTGTGTGTGTATCGTGTAGGCTTTGTACACTTTGTTGTTGATGGCCCAATGTGTACACCTTGAAATGTGTATTATTTACACTGTACGTGTCGCGCCTTAGGGTGGACACATCGCTGTGCAGTGTATACAATGTCACACAGTACTAATATAGTGTGTGTATAATGTGTTATCCTCAAGTGTTAAATACTATAATGTAGGTGTTTTAATTTTGAGGTCTACATAATTCATTTTCCATAAAATTTCGATTTAAAGCTTTCGTGACTGCAGGGATTCATCGTATTGGTTCTTTCGGTAAAAGTCACGTAGAAGGGAAATAATAAAATAATACAAATAAAATATAATAAAATAAAATTCTCACGACGTTTCGGCCACAACGCAAGCAGCCGTCCTCAGGTGAAGAAACGGAGCTGTCGGAAAGACAGCGTCCTAATCATTTTCCATTGTCATCTAAATTATTATCGTCATCATCGTTATACACGATCGATCCACTTGTGGATGAAGGCCTCTCACACATCACCATTCTACTGCTGGATGAGGCTGATGCCATTCTCTCGCCTGTCTCATCCGTCACATTTCATTCACCAGCCTACCTCTCTAAACACGTGCAATGTCTCTCTCTCTCTCTACGTTAGTATTCCACGGTCAATCGGGTTCGTCTCTCTGTATCAACCAAATCCTCCCCCCCACCGAGCTTGTATCTCTACATATATAATAGTACGCGGAGAATTGTGTTGTCGCAGTTACACAAAGGTGTGCATGCGGAATCATTCGGTATGCGTTTCCTTGGGCGAACGGATACCACATCGCATATGCATACTGGGTTTACGTCATCTGATGGGCATGCATTGCGTGTAACGCGCCCTTGAATGTATTAATGCTACAAACACCCCCAGTATCTTGTGTGTGGTGTTGTGGGAGTCGTGCCAGGTGTGTTATACTCGGTGTGTGCACGTTTATGTGCATCGTCCACTTGGAACTCTGACAGTAGTGAATGGCCTACAGAAGGTATAGCGCATGGGATGTTCTAGCTCAGGAAACATGTTTTTAACCGGCAATAGATACATTCGATCAGGCCTGTCACGAACATCCGTGCAAAAGGCCTTCGCAACTTTACGTCTTCTCAAAGTGCAGCAAGGCTGGCCCCAAAGTGCCACTGAAGTGCAGAATGACAGCTGTGTGTTATGTGGAGGGACTATGAGCTGGGTATCGTCGTGTATTGTAAATACATTTTTCAGGTATCGAGCGTTCAGTCCGTACCCTGTGGTGTTGTGTTTCAAGTATGCATTGTTAAAAACAATTACTGGGCCGCTGCGCCTGTGGTCAGCTGTTTGATTCCCGCTGCCGCGTGGTCATTTGTGTTTTTTTTACTGGAATAACCAAAGTGCTTAGTTTGGAAATGTTCGTGTTAAAGACTGTGCGATGTCTTTGAGTGACTCTGAGCTGGGCACCCTGCCTTCTCGAGCTACGCTCCAATTTTTGTTCCTTTTTTGGCGAAGATGCGTGCGTCATAAGTTATACGATGAAATTCACAGATATTGGTCCTTGTGTGCGGGTGTCTTTGTGCCAATTCTAAAATTAAAAGTACAGTACCCACGATGTAAATATATATTTTTTTAAGCATTACTTTCGAAACATTTACCCAGGTCTCTGCCAAAAAAAGCAAAAAATATAAGTGGTTTCCCAACCGATGTGACTAGAATTTTTATCAGAATAGGAAACTTTATTTAGACCAGAGGAATCCAAAGAGCTATGAAGCTCTTTTTTACAGAAATCCAGTAGGGGCGGGTCACCAAATGACAATGGAAAACAATACATAAAACAGTTTAACACGTAGGCTTTCGCGACCAATATTATTGATAATAAAGGTTTTTGGGTCAGATCGCGTTATTTATAAATGTGTCGTAACCCTCCACCACCCACCCCGGCCAATCAGCAAAAAGTGTCACGTTGACAAAAGACAAAATAGTTCACTACTTTAGCCCTCTGGTGTGTGGAAGAGTGAATCCACAACATTTACAATTTGAGTACGACGTTTCACTGGTAATTACATCCAGCATCATCGGGCAATTCGCCAGAATGGTAAATCCCTCACTTGCTCCCGGTCTTAAATAGAGCAGCAGGGTTATGTTATCATATAATTCATTCAGGTGCAGTGATTTGAGAGAGCTCCGTTTAAATAAAGATATCCAAATCCTGGCAGCTGATAAAGGCCGCACTACCGTAGTGATGTCATGAGCCGATTATGATAATAAAATTAGAAATTTACTAGAAGAAAGTACCTACATTAAAATTAAACGAGATCCTGCTATAGCAAATCTGTACATGGAAAACTTTAAAATAAGAGCACTTGCCTCGAGCACATTAAAACCATATTTTTGGTTTAGATATGTGGATGACACTTTGGTTGTCTGGCCACATGGTAAATATACACTTAATGATTTTCTAAATCATCTCAATGCACAAAACCCAGCCATCCAGTTCACCATGGAAATGGAGGTGAATAACACACTCCCGTTCCTAGATATTTTGCTTGGACATGGCCTAAATGGTAAAATAACACACAGCGTTTACAGAAAGCAAACGCACACTGATGCCTATCTGAATGCAGATTCGCATCATCATCCAGCTCAGAAATCCTCTCTTATCAAGACGCTCATAAATCGGGCTAAAACAGTGTCAGATGGTGAAAGTCCAGTGAGAGAGATCAAACACGTTAAAGAAACTCTACGACAGAATGGCTACAATAATGCTCAAATTAACAGAGCACTGAATGCCAAATCACGATCACTGCTGAAAGCGATCAGATTGTTAAAAAATTAAAATTCCATATATCTCAGGAGTAACTGACAAATTAGCCCGTGTTTTGCAATAGCAAAACATTACAGTAAGATTTGGTACAGTACACAAAATTCAAAAACTAGTATCTTGCACTAAAGACGAATTACCTAAATTATCAACAGAAGGTGTATATCGGATTAATTGTTTGTGGCAGATGCTATATTGGACAGACAGGAACATCAGCATAACATTAAAAGAACACAAAATAAATATTAAATTATCTCAAACAACTGTCTGCAGTGGCAGAACATGCTTGTCAACAAGGACACTCCATTGATTTTGATAACGTTGAAGTGTTGTGTAAAACTAATTATTACTGGCAAAGACTAATTAGAGAATCCATTGAAATCTAGAGAAATAAAAATAACTTCAATCGCTCTGACAGCTACGGGCTTAGTGCGGCTTGGAAGCGTATAATTAAATAATACATATTAGAATTCATTATAGGGAAACACATACTAATTAGCGGATTACTAACGTAGCATATATTCACAATAACACATTACAGCTCATTACTAATCATAATCATTGACTGATTACCAATCGATTATATAATTACTGCACCTGAATGAGTTAAATGATGACGTCACCCTGCTGCTCTATTTAATACCGGAAGCAAGGGAGTGCTTTACCATTCTGGCGAATTGCCCGATGATGCTGGATGTAATTACCAGCGAAACGTCATACTCCAACTGTAAATGTTGTGGATTCACTCTTCAACACACCGGTGGGCTAAAGTAGTGAACTATTTGTCTTTTGTCAACTTGACACTTTTTTGCTGATTGGCCGTGTCGGGTGGTGGAGGGTTACGACACATTTATAAATAACGCGATCTAACCCAAAAACCTTTATTACGAATAATACATAAAACAATAAGAGTGCAAAATAGAGAAAAGGTAAACATGTCACTAAAATAAAAATGAATAAAGTATATAAGTACTTGGGACATAAATAACTGCAATGCAGTTTTTATGCTTGAATCTGTGGAATTAAAGACTTGTGGCTGTCTGTAGCATGGTGTTAAGGTACATTTGATACATTACTTATATGATGCATTTCTAGTGTGCCTTGATTGTGTTTTCATTGCCAAAACCCTATAATTGTTTTCCTGAAATCGAGTGAATCGTTTGTAGCAAGGCACACACGACATTTTAACAGATGTTGCTTAACAATTGGTAATTTTGCATCCCATTTATCCAATGCACATTTTTGTACGTGAATGATTTTCCGTTCCCTCCCGTAGCTTGTGCAAAAGTTACATGTTTACGCAAGGATGCCTGATAACGTGGGCTGTGGAATTTAGGAAATCTTCCTTCTGGTATTTTACCCCCACCCGTGTGAGGTCTGCCTTCCACTCATTCCTGTTCTGGGCCATCATCTCTACTTCCAATTCCAATGTCCTTCACATCCCGGTTCACCACGTAGAAGCACAACTTTCTAGGCTCGTGTCTCGGGGTCTGCCGTAGTACTTCCATGTTTATTACTTTTCTTTTGATGTGGATTTCTTTTAGCTCGTCTGAGATGGATACCCACTCTTGCTGTCTTGTGTTTTTTGCGTTTCTGACACGATCCAGACTTTTGTGACCTTAGGAATGCGAAGCATCCCATACAAAAGTCCAAAGTATACACCAAGTGTATGTGTACGAATTAGGGTTCTTGAACGATAACCGGTAAACCAGTAGCCATTGTCAGAACGTTAGGAGTGAATGGACTGATAGGTACATTCAAACACACCAACAGCACGGCAGCCCCAAACACCGCACCTCTGATTAGTGTGGTTGGCTGCATACGGTGCAAAATAAGTTTTACATACAAGTTCTCGATTTTTTTTTATATCACTGTTGACAGAAAAAGGCCTGCGCTCGCGGGAGCTCAAGGATATTTGGTCTACTCTTTCACGCCGATCAGAAGTCTTGGAAGAGGTGGGCATACCCACACTTTTACCCAACCACACGTGACCTGCCGATCGACTATCTGTGGTGTCACCCATTTATGCTTCTGGGTGGACAGAGGCGGGGTTTGTAAATAAACTTTACCATTGTTTGAAATGTGATGAACACAACACTACGTTGTGCTCATTGGCCTAGACATTTATTTGTATGCGTGCGGAAAACCAGTCACCATACGTACCGTTTTTATGAGGTGACCGTGAATAGTAATAAAAAAACAGTTTTAACAACCCGAGTACACATTTTTGATAAAAAAATAGGGCGTAATAATTTCCTCCACTTTGCGATCAAATTCATTTTCGTGATTCAGTAATGTGATTGATTCAAATGCCATGTATTTCTTGTAACATCGTGGTGGTGAATTTAGTGGTCCCATTACATAAAGCAACGAAAACCTTTGATTGTGATACGTGATTTAATGCTCGCATTGGGCACCTAAACATTCCTATTAATGACTTCATTCATTATTACACTCCTAATACATAAGGAGCAGTCGATTTAAATGCAGTGTTAACGTTGGTTAAAATATATTATTCTTCACTATTTAATACAAAGACGTGCATGTATGTGTGTTCAACTTCTTTCGCACCGTACGTAGCCAACCGTGCTAAATTGGAGATGCAGGGGAAGGACAACATACCACACACAAAAAGTAGTTCTAAAGAAATTAGTTTTACATCTAGATTTAAAAGTGCCTAGCTCTAGTGGCTTCCCAATATCGGAAGGAAGGTGTCACCACACTTGATCTGTGATTGGTACCGCTCAGCATTTCATTCATACAGAATCCTGCAAAAAGATGTTTACAAACATATATAGCACTGACTGTACTATAGAGTATGTGCAAGTGATTTACCTTTAAAATATTGTACAAATAAGGCAGTTGACGACTGTAAAGACAGTTTATATAGTACTGTATAGGCTGTTTGCTTGGTCCGAGTATTAAATATCTCATGCAAGTGTAAAAAAAAACATCTCATACAAGGCATTCAGTGAGGGCTCTTCGTGAGGTTCAAAGTGCATGGTTGAGCTGTTTGAATAACACGTGGGTTACAATTGTTGAACAGCCTCACCAGGTCGCATTGCTCATAGTTGAGTAGTGTGGGTGTAGATTCTGTTATGCCATCGTCAGCCAATAGTGTATAAGTGAGGGGCCCTATCACTGGCTAAATATGTAATGAATGAAATTGTCTAAATATTTCGATATTAATATCCAGTGCATGCAGAGCTAAACGTTGTGGGCGACAGAAGTAATTGCAGCGAAACTCATTCTTCTCCGGTACCGTAGAGTACTATGCCTCTTAATATATTATTATTATTCACACCTTCAGATAGCTTGGTTAAGTATTGTAAAAAAAACACAAGCTGAAAATCCTTGCCAGGGGTCGACTCAACCCCCTAAATCCATTGAGGTGGATGAAATTAGTGTCATTTTGTGCGATGTCTACAATGCCCAATCAATGAATACGCAGGAGACGTCGCAGCGATTCCGTTACTCCTGGCCACCTGAATGTAAAATTGTAGTCTTTGATCCGCATCTACATCAGCCATGCGAAAGAAGAAGTGGTCATATGGAGAGACCTTCTTCCACCATGGTAATGCGGAATTTTCACCCTTGATCGAGACCATCCAGCCTCGATGCGAGAGCTGCACACTGGACTCATAAAATCAGAGATGGCCTGTTCGATTCGATCTCCTGGTGCGGCAAGTTTACCCAATCGGGCAAGTCTCTTGAATTCTCTGTCCACCCAGCGGGGTCTACGAAGGGTTCATCCGCAACTTAGGGGCCGTCCATAAATGACGTCACGCACCTATGGGGGGGGGGGTGGGGGGTTGAGAAATGTGACGTCACATGAAAATGTGCAACTTTAAATAAATAGGCAACACGTTATACTTAATTAAATACTTTAAAAAAAGGTTTTTTCCTACAACATCAGAGTGCAGCGCCACATGAAATACGCACTACAATGACAATAGTTTAAAGCGATTTGAAGCATGTTTTAATATTTTTTGGGGGGGAGGGGCAGAGTTTTGTGACGTCATATTTGAGTGGGGGTCTGACTTCTTGTGACGCCGTGTGACGAGGGGGGGGGGGTTAAAAAATCGGCCAAAATCGCGTGACGTCATTTATGGACGGCCCCTTAGACGCCCGGGCAGCATGTGTGCGCTGTGTGTGTGTGGGGGTGTAAACAGTGATTGTGTTCGCACTTTATCCGAGACATTTGGCCAGCACGTGGTAAAAGTTGTCCAGAGACTCTCTCACGAGGCACCTTCTGCCAAGCAGCGACACGCGCGATAAGTTGCAGGGCTGCACCCTTTACCTCCTTTTTAACCGGAATTTCATAACTGCGCGTTGCCAACAACAACTTTACAATTAGCGACATCTGCAAGGGCTCCTATTTTTGTTGCTGCCACCCCATAACCTTCGTGACATGTGCCGTTCCGCGATAGAATATCTATTGCGGTGAGTGGCACAGGCTGCTGCACGTGGGCTGGGCTCGAGACGTCGAGGCAGAGTCGAGGAAGACCGATCGGCGACCCTTTCTTTCTGTTTAACGCCCCGCGCTTCATGCCCACGATCGCAATCTTGCAGAGTCGTGCAATGTGAATGGTTACCGTGTGTGTCGACTTGGAACGCGTGTGTGCCTGCCTGCCTGAGTGTGGGGTGGTTGCTCACCTTGTGGGGAGCGGTAGTGTAGCAGCGGTCCGTGCTACCAAGCCAGCAGCCACCCGAGTTCGATTCCTGCTCGTGGCCAACACCGGTGACGATTATCTGAACCATTCCCGGGCCTCCCCTAGATCGACTCGGTCTCAAATGAGCACCTGGTGCGGTGTGTAAACATCGCCACTGGGGAGACAAAGGCAGCCGGGCGTGGTGTTGGCCACCCACCCCCTCGTGTGCCGTGCCGGCCTTCATAGGTGATCGCTAGCAGCACTTGGCCCCTGCAGTCTGTTAAGGCTACACGGGGGAATCTTTGTCTCTGGTGGTGCTCACCTCCTTTGGCAGACCTCAACCTGTGCTGGAAATGCCTCTTTGCTAACGTAGGGAGCGGCCTCTCCTTGTGAACACCGCAGTTGACTTGCTACAAAGTGGGACTCCTTTTGTCTTTGCGGATCTGCGCACCGTCCACACTCACCATGACGATGGAAGGGTTAGCCCAGATGAAGCAAAAAGATGGATAATGAAAAACATTTGTAAATCTGGCGATAAAACATTGTTTTTCCAAGGAGAATGGCGGTGAAGATGTCGAATATGTCATCTGTTTTTGTTTGCTCATGTAATCGGTTTACTTGCACATGTTTGGGGTCACGTGGACAATGAATCAAGCTAGGAGAAGCTCATAATTAAATCAGCACACGTGTGAAAGATTTTATTTCACAAGCACGGTTAATCCGCAACTCGGAGTATTCTCCCAGGGATAATTAAGAGTTAACTGTGATTAAGTTGAAACCTACAGGTAGACTGAATAATTGGTACACTCAGGATGGTGTACATTGTGGCATTTTGCCAATATCTCGTAGTTGCTATGGCTCTGAAACATTTACAACTGAAAACATACTGTACTGTGTTCCATGACACACCCTCCTTCACTGAAGTTGGCACTTGAGGGTTGACAATGTCTCCCTCTTTGTTACACGTTGCAATATTCTGACATTTGCCACTTTGTACCGTTGATGTAAATATTCATGAATGTGTTCCTCCTCAAACCAGCGTTGGGTCAGCGATTGTCTTCATTGGTGAGCCGTGAGGTAGTATAGGAAATTCCACGTTCCTGCGGCAGAGACCAGTCTATCCACATTTGCCACTATGGAGAGAATGCCATTCACTGTGTAGGGATGATGATCTGTGTGTTACAGTTGGCAAAAATATGTGTAGATTTAAAGCAGGTTAAACAGTTTATATCAATTTAACACGTAGGCTTTCACAACCAATATTATTCATAATAAAGGTTTATGGGTTATATCGAGTTATTTATAAATGTGTCGTAACCCTCCACCACCCGACACGGGTGGTGGAAGGTTCCGACACATTTATAAATAATGCGATCTAACCCAAAAACCTTTATTATGAAGTTTATATCAAATGAATACTCAGGGGTCCATTCTTCCAAGTGCTGTCACCCATAGACCATGTTATAGATAACATAGATTAGGTGATGTCATGTTCAAAGTGGCATAGGTGGTGCGAATGTCTTTTCGTGGCATTTTTCCAGTGGTGAAAATTCCACATTTTTATGGCAGAGGCTAGTTACTCCCGAAGATGCCCGTTTGTTGCCATGCTGATTGGAATGTGAATTTAAATAAAGACGCAGAAATATTAACGTAAATAAAGTATTTTTTTGGCAGCAGTCTTCTGCAAAGCGTCAAGACGGTCAAGTGCAGTTGACTCACACCTTACCACTTGGTTGCACATGCAAAGGGTGCCCTTTGTCAGAGCATTGTGGAACTTGGTACCCTCCACACGGATGCGTGCTGTTTTTCGTATAATTTGGATTGTTGTCAAATTTTCTCACCGAAAATGGATCCCAGTTTTTCTTTCCCCAGCCGGCTGTGTTTTTTCAAGCAAGGAACCGAGTGCAAACGAATTTTAGCCGCAGCTGTAGGATATGAATAAAAAAATATTTTCAGAAAAGAGCCCACATTCCTTTTTCTCAGAACGCCCCTACATCAAGAGTAGGCTTCAAAGCAGTGCGTAATGGACGGCTGGCTCAGGGGACTAAAGCTGTGCCTATGTAAATATGGTTTTTCATTTAATTACGCCTAGCCCAAGCTTTGAGGGCTACATTTGTATGTACATGAGTAAAGTGTATCGCCCAATGGACACATGGGAAATTCCTCGCAGCCAAATGGACATTCCCTGTTGTCTGTACGTGTGTGAAACGTCTTTCGCTCTGTACGTAGCCAACCGTGCTCATCGGAGGCGCCGGTGAAGGACAGCGAACTAAACATAAAGAGCAGTTCTTAAAGATATGATT